GGGCCGGGAGCTTTATACCGCTTCATGTGCCGGAGCTCCTGCTCGATTTCCTGGGAAGAGGGAGGGTCTGTTGGGGTAGACAACTCGGCCCCGCGCGAGCGCCAGGGGTAGCAGATGGAGCTGTGGGTCAACAAAACTGCGAGTCAAAATGTTCGGCCCATCGCTCCAACCGTCGTTGAAGATTGATGATTAAGGTGCCATCCTCTTCGCATATTGCTTCACTTATACCAGGTCGAACACCTTCGGTGACTCGAATGAGATGGAAGAGTTTCTTGGTATTACCACAGACTAGCCAGCTCCATCTCCCTAGCACGTTCACACCACCAAGCTTCGCGGTCCATTTGCAGACTCCTGCGCAACTCTCTACCAAGGTATTGGCGTTCCTTACTGTGTCTGGAATCCGATGGGATCAAGCGGCGTCTGTCCATCAGCGACAGGGAGTCGGCGGAAATCCAATGTTTCGGTGGGTGACGGGTAACTCCACAAGTGTCGATACTGGCGGAAACCAACGCATCTTTGATATGCGCCCACTGCGAATCGAGATCACCGTCAATAGTTGAGCCAAGCAAAGTTGACACTGAGGCTTGGTACCTGGTTAAAATCGCAGCCTTTTGTAGATTCGCGACCTCCGGTCGGTAGTGGGCTCGCTTAGGTGATCCTCCGAAACGCATGCAAGTCTTAGCACGAACCAATGAGTGATCAGAGTCTAGAAAATTGACCAGTACGATCGGCAGTCCGTTACGCTTCCTCGCCATCTGTAGCTGATTGCTATGTGGTCAAGCTGGGAGCACTCTTGCGTTTGTGAGGGCGGGCGCCAGGTAGCAGTGTGTCTCCTCGAGTGTCGAAAACTAGTGCTCGAAAGAAACAAGCGATGATCAGTGCAAAGAGCAAGTAGTCTGTCTCCATTGTCTGATCGACTGCCACCGAGACCAAAACTACCCCCAATGTGGTGCTCGCTTGGTAGAAGGCGGCCAACCCGTGCGTTTAAGTCCCTGGCAAGAATGACTATATCCGTCCTTTTGGAGGAACGCAGAAGTTCATGTAGTTGCTGGTAAAAGCTATCTTTAACTACATCCGGGCTGCAGTCTGTAGGGGCGTAGGCGGAGACGACAAATAAGGCACGCTTAACATCTCGACGCCTGCTTACGTTACATGAACCTCTTAGTCTGACTGCACATAGTCGGCTGTTGACTGGGATCCAGTCAAGCAGAGCTGATTCAGCCCTGGCACTTAATACAACCCCAACACCAGCTTGACCAGTGGCGGCAGATTCTGGGTCTCCGGAAAGCCGCAAGTAGTATTTGGCGTCAGAGTTTACCGGAGAGGCCATTCTGATGACGGCGCTAGAGTCTTGTAATCTGGTCTCTGAAAGACAACAGATGTCTACCGATAGCATTTCAAGAGTACGGGCCAGACATGCTTGTCGTCCGATCTGCATCAAAGTTCGAACATTAAACGCCGCGAGGATGAATGGAGAACCAGGTCGAAGAAGAGCTGGAGCTTCGGTGGAGTGAGAGGCGGTTGCGATCGCAGTACATTGAAAACCGGGAGTTTGGCTGTTACTTCCATCAGCTGCGAGACGTGGGTCGTTGGTGACGGTGACCGTAGAAGACATAAGAGTACATGTAGGTGAAGGACGGGAGGTGGGTGGTCTGTGAGTGGACGTTGAGCGGTTGAGTTAGGACAGAAGAGCGGCATAGCAGTAGTAGTAGTGAGCGGTGTAGGCTCGAACGGGCGCCGGAAGATTACAAGACAAGCTCGTTACCTCTAGGCTACGGGTCAGCCTATCAGTGGAAGCCGCAAGGAAACTGTCTCGCCGATGCCACCTTATCTTTGTAGGTTAGCCAGTTGTTTGTGAGGGCGTTATAGATAAGGTGCAGGCGCTTTGCTCCTGAATGTTTGCATGGGGAATTGTACTTTCCCGGTATGTCACTCTTCTCTCCCTCTTAGTATTCCTTCGTTATGTCATTGTGAGTTATATGGCTGCGATGTATCAGTTCAACTGGCTGATGTTACACTGTTGTTGACGATGAGAAGCATCACCTGGCATGGCTCAATGGGTCGCTGAGGCGCACCAACCCCCGCGCTACGTTTAGGTCTAGTTTCGTCGCGAATAGGAAATTTGCGAGTCATTAGTGAAACTGGGTGCGCGAGACGTTCCACCCGACTGGCGCAACTCCGTTATACTCTCGATATTCAAAGGTGTTCACTTTTTACATCTGGTATTCATACAGGTATCGATGTCGTTCTTTTCAGATTGGTTGGTGCTATTGAAGGCCTGATTTGTGAAGAGTAAGCCAGGTTTCTTCGAACTTGTGGCTACATTAGTCGCATCACTTTACGTCATACGTCACGTACACTGGAGACCCATGGTAGCTGTGTAATTCGACATCAAAGGTGTGCTCTTTAAGGCTGTCTGCTTAAGAACGATGTACCCACGAAGTTAGTAAACATTATTGCAGCGTTCTACGCGCGTAGTTCAAGAAGTGTGGCGACTTATGACAGACTGTCGACGCTCTTCATTATCTCCAGCGGTGTGAGACAAGATTGCCCGCTGTCACTTTCTTTTCAACTTCACTATTCGCTGCGTTATGGAAACTACGTTCACTGGACTTGACTCAAGCAGTGTGAAGTTGCTCCCGGTTGATCAAATTCTTGGTTTGTAGTGTGCCGACGATATTCCTTTAATCTGTTCCCATTCATAAACGTGCCAAGCAGCACTGGGGAGATTAGCACCGTCTGTTAGCCGTTCCGAACTTTTCTTTGCACCGTCGGACTACAAAACATTCTTCTAAAATAACCAGGAATCGCTCACTACACTGACTCTTGTGGAGGATCGGCTAAAAGCCCTTCAGAAATTCAAGTACTTAAATAGCTGTATCATAGTCTGTGCGTTTGAGTGTCAGGTAACGAACCGCATGAGAAACGTACGATGCGCGTCTTCTAATCTTTACCACCTGTGTCCCCAGTGCGACATCATTCTCGTCCTAAAGAGCGGAGTCTACAGTGCTGGCATCTGTTCAACCCTGTACAATTGTGAAACTGCACCAGACCCACAGACGTAAAGCAACTGTTTACGTTTGGTCATCGCTGCCTTCGTAGTTTAGCTCATGCTTAATGGGAACACCGCGTGCTCGATGAGTGTATTCGACATATTGCCACAGTGAGGTGAAACGAGCGGATCGTTATTTCTCGCTGAGAGACTTGTTTAGGCTGGTAGGCGCGATTTTTTTGGATGGAGGCCTCGGGATGGTCCACACCATTGGTTGGAGACCACATCAGACATGGCGCAATCAGCAGTCAGTGACGTTCCTGCATTTTGTTTCTTGCTTCTGGTTGTTAATTTTCGTCCAGTCCTGATTGATTTAAGGGAATTCATTCTTGCTTCCATCTTTCTTACATTCTATGTGCTTTGACCCCTCTATCTTTCTGTTGTTATTTATTGTTATTCTCGCGTTGGGATTGATGGCAACTTGATCCACCGTCCTTCGGCGCTCGGATCATAGTTGTTCGACTGAACTGAACTGGTTGGAGTCCGATAGACGATGGATGGGTTTGGTTGAATAAACTTTCTGGCATATTGGAGAACCTACCTCATTGGCGTTCGTTGCTTCTTTCTCCGTCCCCTGCTGCTTAGCCTACCCCTCTAACCGCCATGTCAGTCTCAGTGCGTGCCATAATGTTTCGTCGTTCTTTTTTCCTTAATTTTGTTATTTTCTATTATCATCACGTTAGCGGAGGTGTTTCTCTATCTAGCTAACAAATATCATGATGATGCGTCCGATATTTACTGGTCGAAAAGGTGTTAAGCAACACTCACAAGTAACTGGAACATACAGGAATTAAGATAGTAAATTTAGCATCGCATCTACGCTCCAGTGGGCGCACAAACGGCGGGATGTAATCAACTTCTTACAATCATGAGAAATATGTGGCTCTTCCGCACATCGCCTATTCGTCAGGTGTGCTCCGTTGCAACTCGTTGAGGCCGGCTATCCTAGCAAGATGGCAGGTGTAGACCATGTCAACGTCCCAAATTGGTTACGGTGGGTTACTACGATGTAATGCTAGACCTTGCCGATTTCCATAGACTGATACAGTTATCAACGAGCGGGACACTGTGTTGCTCAGGTGTCTGCATACGCAGGCAAAGTTCACTTCTCAACTGGGCAAACACCATACTTTGTGTGGCCAGAAAGAAAGTCACAATTACTCTCGGGTTTACGTTTTTTTATGACGCAGCATTTGCAGCCATCAGTGACGGATTACGCTAGCAGGCCTAAAGACTTGCTTCGACAGTTGCATCAAGCTGCATGACTAAACCTGGAGAGTGCTCGTCTACACCCAAGGTAGTACTGTTGTAAAGTCTTCGGTGTCCCTTAAGGATCAGTGAACTTACCTGACTTCACCAGACTCACACTCAGAAAATGCTTGCAAAATCCCGCTGAGAGTGAATTGCTCTCAACCTTATGGAGCTGATGCTATCAGATGTTGCACGTACAAGAGAGCCTTACACTTTAATCGTTGGATATCGTTTAGGTGGGACACCGACTATGATGAGAGTGAATGGTCAATCCACCTCCCGAAGTAGTAGCTAAGATGGAAGTGCCTGCACGATGGGGTTATGGCAAGGTCAAGTTAGGGAATGCAATCTAGGAACGAATTGGAACAGATAAGCTCGCAAATCGAATTTGAACAGTTGTTATAACGGCATTTCCGCCTATCTTCCAGAGTTGCTGTGCAATCACTGAAGTATAGCAGGAGCAGAACAGGAATATTAGCCGTATCGTTTTCTCTGTTCTTATGCTTGTTTCCGTCTATAGTGGTTATGTGTTATCTAATCTACGTTTTTGTACCGGCCTTAGATTTCTGGGATTGAATGTTACACGCGTCAGGGGCTGTGCGCTGTTCTCACTTAGTTCATGTGTGTGCGATTTAACCACCCTCGTGCTTTGCTGTGTTACTAAAATTAATTCTGCCTGCTATTTTAGCTTAGCCAGTTTTGTCCTTCCTGGATCTTTTTAAACTGCATTGCTTGGATCCCTCGTCTGACCGCGCAGACTAATCATTCTTACAGTCTCTCGGCTGAAGTGTCGCGCTTATGTTCATTATGAATGCTCTGAAAAAGGATAAGCGTGATGAAGAGGATGGTTCGTCCTAACTCCATAATTCACATCTTCGTAATCCTCAGGGTTCGGAAATTCTTATCTTCAGCCTGACAGAACTATGGTACTCCAAGAGGTTTGGTTCGATGCAGTTTTCATCACTTTTAGGCACGCACCTTTAATGAATCTCCATTGAATCCGAGAAAGTGTGTCCACACACTTACGAAAATTTTGGTCGTCGTCGGACAGGTTAGTTTAGAGTGTGTGGCTCACTGTTCTAGGGAGAAAAGCTAGGAAAAATTGAGGCCACTGATACGTTTTTTGCTATCACGAAGCTGTTCCAGTCAAGTGACGTAAGTCTATAATTTTCAAACTGGCCTACTTTACAGCAAAACCTGCGGCGAATGGTTTATCTAGTCATCAAAGAGCTATCCCCATTGGCGGAAGACGTCATTATCGTAACTAGCAGGTGAGTTGCTTCCTTGCCTTACGTAGTTAGCTTAACAAAAGACATGACGGGACCAGATCCCGCATTTCGAGGGCCTGCTATCCGGGCGCTTTGCGCTATCACAGATGTAAGCATCATTGGCCGTTTTCTAACTATCATATCAAGGTCACTGTGATCCAAAGCATCGAGCGCTATCTGAAGCAAGCGGTTGTCGATAAGTCCGCATCAATTTCATCAGCTGTGCTCACGTCGGCGTACCAGTTAATGCGTGTCTGCCCTGACATAATCAAGCGTTGGGTAAACGAGGTGCAGGAGGCGGCCACTAGTTCACGAGTGATGGTTCAATATCACGCTCTTGGTCTTCTCTACTTGATACGACGTGGGGACCGTCTCGCTGTCATTAAGATGATTCAAAAGTTTTCCCGTTCTGCCCTCCGTTCTCCATACGCGCACTGCATCATGGTAAGTTAAAGATTGTTTCACTAAAACACACTAGATCAGAATAGTTGCAAAGCAGCTGGATGAGGAAGGCATGGAGTAAGTCCCAATGAACCACTCAAATTTTTGCATTCCTTGTACCTTTTAATTCTAGAGAGCTAGCATAATCAGGAAACCACCCCACAACTCCTATGCTAACTGTAGAAATCACCGTCTAACCTTTGACGCAACTCCATTCTCTACTATCTTACCGGCTTACCCACGTGTTTTCCATAACACACCTGCACACCACCAGTCCTTTAACCTGTTCATTATTGCATCGGTCTGTTGCATTTGCCGGAAAGGTTAATGTTTTTAAAGAACTTTGTCCGAAATCTCATTGAGGCGGTTTACTTTTGGGCCGGTTCCCGCGAATGTGTTTGACCACCTGTTTCATTTATTGCTCTGCACCATCTTTACTCGTTTGCTCCATCAGGCTGGCTATTTCACCCCATTAGTTGCTACTGCAGCAGGTGCATTCTTGTCTCTTTAGCAGTCCGGAAGGTAAGCAGTTTGTTGAAACTCGATTAAATGGCCATTATTGTTTCCTCTTCCTTTTATTTTCCTATTTCGTTCACAGTACTGTTAACCATTAGGTTCCCTTACTTGTTTTGACTATCCATTCTGCTCGGCTTCATCTCGTTGGTGGTTGTGACGACGGCATCCAGCTCGCCTGAAATGTATTTCTCGTAGAAAGTAGAAGTCACGATTAAAACTCACACACAATAATGTGCCTCGACGAGGAGTCGAACCCCGGCCCAACGAATTTCCGGTCCGCTGCTCTGCCACTGAGCTACCGAGGGCTGACTATTAGGTGCGCAAGTTTTAATACATGACTTCTGCTTGGTGCGCGACGTATTGCCAATGAGCTCACAGTATCTGTCCTGGTGTTGCAGATTGGCTCACTCACCCGTCACTTCCCAATGGGCCGAAGTATCTGTCCTTCTAATGTCCAAAGGGCGATGGTAGATTAATTGTAGATGTTTGTGAGTAGGGTAAAGTTCGTAGAAAGTAGTCACGATTAAAACTCACACACAATAATGTGCCTCGAGGCACATTATTGTGTGTGAGTTTTAATCGTGACTTCTACTTTCTACGAACTTTACCCTACTCACAAACATCTGAAATGTATTTGTTTTCATTGCGAAAGAAACGATGTTGGGTGTCATCAAATCCTATCCTGTTGAGTTGAACTCCCACGGACGGGTTGATTTTGAGAACTATTGTAGCTTTAACACCAGGGGAAGAATCTCATGACTAGACGAATTGATGCAATCGATATAGTTACTTTGCGACGAGCGTGCCCTGACGTGCTTGGAGGGCATTCTGCAGAAGCATCCAGACGTTTTCGCGTGCGAAGCGTGAGATTTTGGGCACATCAATCATCATCATCAATACACGTTAGCGGAGGGTGAGACACTTACCTCAGCTGCTGTGCCGCAATCCAGAAATGTAAGACATTGAGCAATGTAGGCTTAAAAGCTATAAAAGATAACCAAATGCTAGTATCACATTTTTGATAATTATTGAAGGGGAAACCTAAAGGGAAGTGGAGGGGCAAGGAGACTCACAACACAAACGCCGCCGAGGTCGACTCTTCGCCATGTCAGCTAGTGTATCCAAGCAAACGTGTCCATCATCCTTCAGTCCCCAACCAGACTGTCGGGAAACACCAACCGACGCCAACTTCGAAGTGAAGGAGTTCATTCCTCTAGACCAATTCACCGCTTGGCCTCCCCTCTCTTCGTCCATCCTTACCCCCGGCGCGCAAACAACGCACGTCGCGGGAGTCGGTGGGCTGGCATGCGCAACACGTGGCCCAGCTATCGGAGCTTGGTGCGTGATATAATGGTGCTGAGCGGCTCAATCGCTCTTCCTGCACCATATACATGACGCCGAACACGCTCATTGCTCACAGATATTGGGCACACTGATGCTTTGAAGCATGCCATCGATATCGGTGATGCTAAAACAGTGAGATTTTCACAGAGACATTCCAGCCCGCTAAGTGGTTGAAGTACAGATGATGAATCATATTATCTTATATTCTTCAACCCTCCACCTACCATGGGTGTCATCTATTGTTCTGGTAAAAAGGAGGATGGTGGTCTCAGGTTGTCTGGACCAGGGACTTCTCAGTCTAGTAACTCGATGGGTCGCTTTTTTCTTCCGCAGAATCGACGGTTTGTTCGACGCATTTAGTGCGTCAGCATGCTCTGACACTGGCAGGTAAAGGCTGCAGTGAACAATCAAACGAAAACTGACTTAGACGTACAGTCAGACCTGTACAAATTCCAAAATAAGCCTTTTAGGTTATCAAACACTACTGAGAAATTTGGCTGAAGTACTGAAATGTCTCCTCGAAGTGCGGCCAGAATTCGCATAAAGATGGCACGTCTTCGGTTCAGACACTCGAATGGACTGCCATAGGACGGAGCAAATGAAGTCTTGGTCGACTCCTACGAGCATTCGCCAGTCACATAGTGGGGACAACAAGCTTACGGGTTATAATATCACCGCTCGATTGGTGTAAAGCAGGAGCGCAAATGTCGGTGGAAGGGCGCCCTCCGGTGCTCAGTGGTTTGCTACCGCCACCCTCAAGCCAGGCAGTCCTTGGTCCAATTGCTGCAAACCCTCTTACTCCTACCAATGCATTCCAGCACACCGACCACCGCGACATGCGTTGTTTGTGCTACCGGGGGGTTGGGTAGAAGAGAGGAGACCAAGCGACGACTTGATCAAAAAGAAGGAAAACCCACATTTCGAACTTGTCGTCGGTTGGTTTCTCCTGATTATCGGGCTGCGGTCAGAACGCGATGGACATGTTTGGTGTGATGCACTTGTTGACATGACGAAGAGTTGACTTCAAAATCCTTTGTGTTGTGAGTTTCTTTGTCCCTCTACCTTCAACTTCAATTCCCTATACTACCCCGAACTCTCGATGTATAAGATAATATTTGTCATTATATAACTGGTATTTTAATTATCGTTCTCCGAAATGTCTGGTATGTATTCTGGCACCATATCTAAGTTCCGTTTCTCACCCCCAGGTAGCGCGATGATAATAAACAGACGCACGTGAGCGCCTTGACTTCGGAATTCTATTGGGATTAATAAGCACCGTCTCATAAATAGGTGCATCTGTTTACACCCTTACTGACAACAGTTCGGAGGGTATCAAAGACAACCTCCATCATGATCTCTTATATCATGTCGGAATGGCGAAAAATACTGATATCGCACACCTAACTCCAATTGCCGGTCAATTTGGAGCAAGTGCCTGAATTCTGAACATGCTCGAGTGCACACACGCTTAGCGCTCACTATTCCCGTTTCAAATAAGCGCCTAATTCTCACCTACTTAATTGTAACTTGAACCCGCAGTCCGAGGTTCAACAATATCATGCAGAACTGACCCACCAATCGTCAGTAGTAAATGAATTTTGTGAGCCCAATATTCACTAGAATCGTCTTCAGTGTGCCTTGAAGAATGCATTTGACTTCTGCGGTGCGCCCAACTTGAGATGTCCGAAATGGTCCTCGGGATGCATCAATCCGTTTGATCGAGGCACGGAAACTGGTTCCGTTGGGTACTAAGTTTCAGCGTGTCCGTGACTCCTTGAAACAACGACTGACAAGGAGTCTTCGAATTGACCAGGCATGTTGGTGGGCGGCGAAGGCGCGTGAGATGGAGAAGCCTGAATGCTGTTCCAGTAATCCGGAACACGGGTCCGAGCAATTCATCAGTTAGCGAGACAACAGCTGAGAAAGATGGACGTTTAGTCCATTCTCAGCCGCGTCGAATGGACCATTGAACAGTAGTTCCGTAGGTCCACTGCGACCCTGCCGCTTGCCGAATCACTTGAGCCGGCGTGGGAAGTTGATGTGACACCTCTCGCCTTGGAAAGGAGTCGACATGAGCTCGCCAATCTGAAACGAAACAAGGCCACTGTACCCGGTGACCTTCCTCTCTCTGCTGATATACGGAGATCACTCGTGGTTGACTGGTTTTGATGCTCTATGCACCACGATTTGGGACACTGAACAGGTGCCATCAGACTGGGGACTAGTAACTGTCGTGCCCAGCTTCAAAAGGCGTCAGCGTACATTGTACATGAATCACCGATTCACCAGCCTTATTTCCATTGTTCCTAAACTTCTCAGGGGTATCATTCTTCGTGAGAACCGAATCGTTGAAAGCCAGGCTGGTTTCCGCTCTGATTGTGGTTGCATCGAGCACGTATTTGCCCTTCACTAAGTGTTAGAGCAGAGACACGCACGAACAACCGCCTATGGTGGTTTTCCTTTACATGAAAGCCGCCTTCGACTCTGTTGACTGCGCCAGCTTGTGGCACTGCCTATCCTTGTAGAGTGTCAGCTAACTTTCCATCCTGAAATCTCTCAACAGTGACACGCGCCCGTGTAAGGGTTTAGAGCAATCTGTCACCGAAGTGGAGTTCGCCTATATCTCCTTTTCTCTTCATTGTGATCACAATGCACATGAATGACTCTGTTTTTTCAGACTCTGCCAGTTAGCCGATTAACGCACCTTGAGTATCTGAACTGCATAGCTCTCCTTCAGTCTGACGCAGTGGCTATGCAAGCACTACTTAATAGATTGGTGCTAAGCACTGAACGCTTAGGTGTATACTTTGTACCTTCACGGTGCCAGGCGTTGTTGCAGTACTGGACCGATACACTATCAGATCTAACGATCAGCGAACAGCCACTGGAAGGGGTGGGTCAGTTCACGTACCTTGGTAGTTGTGTCATCTCTGGTGGTTGCCTCTCTGAGGAAGTTACTTTGCGCATCAGCAGGACCCTTGTTGCCTTCCACAGACCCATCCATCTTTGGAGACGGCGTGCTTTCCATCTGCCAGTGAATGTTAAGGTATATAACGCTGCGATGGGGCCTGTGTTACTGTATGGATCAGAGATCTCGCCAGTTCCCAATTAACACACTACACGCTTAGGCGTGTTTGACCACCGGTGCATGCAGAGTATTGCTTACGTCTGGTGGGAACACCGGTTTTGCAATGCTGAGGTGCACTAGTTGGTTT